CTTTAACTTGAGTTTTTAAGGATAAAAATTAAAAAAAAAAAGATCTATTAGCAATTATATGAGTACTTATTAATAACTATTTAACTCTTCTAGAAGTAAGTCAATGGTTAATGGTTGAGATTTTAAATTCAATACTTAAATGAAAATGGATGTAAGGAAAGGAAAAAACTATTATCTTTGTATAACCTATTGAAATGTACCAAAAATATATATATATATATATATATATCTATTTAGAAATCAAACTACGGTATTTTAAAAGGAAAAATTCAAAGAACACTGCTAAATACACTCACTATTGTCACTCCCGTTGGACACTTTCGCTCATTGTGCTGCCACGTCGACAAAACTGTGTTTTTTTCCTCTTGCCACTGTTCTGTTTCCTTCCACTATACCTTTTCATTTTCATCCATTTTATTTTTCTAATTTAATTAGAGGAGAACAGAAGGTCATTGGGATTTTTTTCTTTTAAAAAGTATCTCAGAAATAAAAGTTTTTATTTTTTTAAAAGAATTTATATAAATAACGATTTTTTTTTTCATGTAATTCTTAATGAATATTTTTATTTGATCAAAAACATTTTTAATTATTATTTAATATAATATGAAAATTTTTCATAAAAAATTCTTGCCTGAAGAGGTTGAAAAGTGAAATTAAAACCATTAAAATTGAATGGAGTAATTTTTTTTTTTAAAATAAGGTTTTTATTTATGAGATTAGTGTTTATCACCATGAAATTTAAAATACTACTCTTGTAGTTGTAAAGTAATTGTCTCTTTTTCAATTTTTCTTAAAATTAAGGATTTAAGATAATTTATATATTTATTTATATTATCATTAAAAATAAATAAAAGATAAATATAAAATTTTATGATAGGATAAATAATTAACTAAAAGGATAATAATAATGTTAAAATAGAAAAAAATTATTTTTTTATCTTTAAAAAAAAGAAAAAATTATAATTAATTTGGGAAAAATCAAAATAAAAAGACAACACTTATTTTGATAAAGATGGAGTATTAAGTGAGGATGTCACCAAGTTTTGCGGAGTTAGGGAGTCCATTCCCGTCCCCACGAGTGGAGACGATAGGAATCTTTACGGAGATTTTTGATAGAGGATAGATTTTACTTCCATCTCTATTTTTGGTGGGGAATGAGAATCTCTACAGGAATCTCCATTCCCTACCAATTAATATCAAACTATAAATCTTTTAGTCTTTTACATATAATTAATTAATAATATTCAATTACAATTAATAAAATTCTAAAAATTTAAATACAATTGTAATATCCCAAAATTTTGGGGTATTTTAGCATTAAATTGGGGATTTATTTGAGAAAAAATATT